ATTTTTTGTAAAGGTGTTATAACGGATTGGCCTTCTGCGATCCCTGAACTGTGGGCAGCTATTAGCGATAAGACAAATATAGTTAGTTTGGAACGTATGTATAGACGTAAGTGGGACGCTACAAATAGGACTGCCTCTCTTGTAGAAACAGATAACATTATTATTACTTTTAGAGATAACAAACGGAGAGACCTTAAAATATTTAATAATATGGTTGGCTTGAGAGTACGACCTTATATCACGCAGGTTAGACAGTGTTATAACTGTTTCAGATACGGACACACAAAGAACGCATGTAAGAGCGAGACGAAATGTATTATATGTGGTGACAAGGCCCACGGTCAATGCTCTAAAACGGTGAAGTGTTGTAATTGCGATGGTCCTCATAGATCCACGTTTAGAGGATGTCCTATTTTTGATAAAAATAAAAAAATCAATGTTGTGAAAGCGCAAAATAATATCTCATTTTACAGAGCACGAAAAATTTTTGAAGGCGGTGACGCTTCAGTGTTGTCCAGCCAAGATAGATACGTGAACCCGGGGGCGTGGCCCACTCTACCGGAGCCCAGAGGTGGCATAATGTACTCTGCAAAAACTAAATCTAATTCCCGGAACGAGGTAGAAATTTCTAAATCAAAAAAATGACTACAGGGATAAACATCCCCGTGATGAGACTCAGAAGGACAATAGGAGGATAGCTCCCTCCCGATCTTTTTATAAACAATTTAACCTTCGAGAAGAGGAAATTAACCAGAACAGGAGAGGCTTGGCGCTGGGGACCAGTCGCAGCGGTGCAACTGTGGAAAGTGACAGCAAGGATGCTTCCTCCGACGAGGGGAGGAAAGGCATGATGTTTCCTGCGGGGACTTCGAATGCCAGAGATATTGTCGAGGGAATCCTTTTATTGTTACAAAGTGATCCACAGGTGAAAAGCCTTTTGATTGAGGCACTCAAGCGAATGTATGTACGTGGACAATTAGAAGGGAGTCCTCAGCGACCCAGTGAGACTGTCGAGATGGAATATGAAACACAGATGAACAACGAGAGGGAAACTTTGTCTTCCCATTTGACGGAATAATTCAGTTTATTGTTATGGAATTGCCAGGGTTTCAGAGGCCGTAAGCAAGAGTTATCTAAGAGAGTCATGGACTACGATATAGTGGTCCTTACGGAAACAAAATGTTCGGAACGCAGCCAGGTCTATTTCCCTGGATTCAGAACTTTGAATAGTGATAACCTCTTGGGTAGCGATGGAGTCTCAATCTCAATTTGTTCACATATGAATTTTGATGTTGTCCCCATCGTGGCTCCTCCGATTGGGTATGATATAGTTTGTATTGAAACAAAGAATTTGAATCATAACTTTAATTTGGTAGCTGTTTACAGACACCCGAGAAAGGCTATTGCTAGACAGGATTTTCGGGCAGTGTTCAACTCCTTGCGGAGTATTGGAGAGAATGTTATTATTCTTGGAGATTTCAACGCGCATAATACTCTCTGGAATTGTGATTCAACCAATGAGAGTGGGGACACTCTGTTGGATATTATGAACGAAAATGATTTACTGTGTATGAACGTGGACACGAAATCACGACTAGGCTACAGTGGTCAGCGTGACTCCAACCTGGATCTCTTGTTTGGCTCTGTGAGCTTGATTGATGTGATGGAGTGCAGTCAGGAGGATTATAATTGGGGAAGCGATCATTTTCCATTGTGTTTTCGAATTGATCGACAGACACAAATTTATAGAAAACTACCCAGGTAGCAAGCACTCGTCATTTTGACGTCAATATTTGGTCATAATTGGTCAGTAACGTCATTCGTCGATTAAGTGACGTATATTTAACGTCATGTTTTAATACGTTAAAAAGACTTTGTAAAATGACATTATATAGACGTTTAATTGACTACCCAGGTAGCAGACAGTCGTCATAATGACGTGATTCTTACGTCATTTTATGACGCATGTTACGTCATTTATTCCTAAAGTTTGACGTAAAAATGACATATTTTTCACAGGAATATTCCTACATTTATAAAGTGTTTCGTAACTTTATGATTGACGTTGTGAATTTATGGTATAAGTGGATCTAGTTGCGTGTGTAATTATAGTTTTATGACAACTATTTCATGCAGTGTTATAACTATTAAGAAGATATCATTACAAGATTTTTTACCACTTTAAAGATGTACCTGTTATAGACAAGTACAGTTAATAGGGAAGCATCAGGGTGAGAAGATCGTCACTGTCCACTGGATCATCGAAGTCAAGCGACTCGGACGCGGTACTGTACTAGGATGGGTGACCGCCTTGAGAGCGGCTATACGCACATGGCATGTAACGAAACAGTTAAAAAGCTTTTTTTTTCTTAGATAAAGAAAAAGAACATTTTTTTATAAACGTTTATCAAGTAGACATTTTAAAATTTTAATTTCATAAAAAACATTTCTAGAAACCGGTATGTCGTACATTGGACCTATTTTTGCCGTCAATAAAACGTCAGAAAATGACGTCGTTGGGATGTGACTTAGGACCGTGAAAAATACGTCATTTTTACGTTAAACTTTAGGAATAAATGACGTAACATACGTCATAAAATGACGTAAGAATCACGTCATTATGACGACTGTCTGCTACCTGGGTAACTAATCGGCTTTCCACCAAAAGAACGGACTGGGAGCGATATCGTGAATTAATCTCTAAGGACTTTGAAACATTTTCAGTAACGAATACGGTTACTCTTGATTCTAATATTGATTTTTACTACAAGGCATTTATAGAGATTCTCAAGAATGGTATTGCCAGAGCTTCAGGAAGAAAAACAATAACCATAAAAAATAAGGAGCCAAATAAAAACAAGAGATCCCATAGATGGTGGGATGCGAAATGCGATGAGGTGATCGGGAATAGGAAATCTGCTCTTTCTGCTTTTAGGAAACATAAATCCATTCACTCCTGGGTTGAATACAAAAGGTGCCGTGCGTTGGCTAAAAAGACTCTCAACGAGAAGAAGAAAGAAAATTTCATGGAATTTTGCCAGGGAATAAACAAATTTACGGACCCTGGATATGTCTAGAGGACTATCCGTATATTTAAGAAGGCCAGGAATAACGTTACTTGGAATAAATGGCAGTCCATTGACAGAGAATCGGAAATTAGGAGAACGACGGACAGCTTGTCCCCCCCTACTGTCGGTCACAAACCTTATAATAACTTCATGAGAGCTAGCGGTGAGTTTGATACCCCTTTTTTGAGGGCGGAGCTGGATAGGACTATAACTATGGCCAGGAGAGACTCTGCACCGGGGCTGGATGGCGTGGAATACAAGATGTTACGCCTCTTGCCGGATTCAGGTAGGGAGTGCCTTTTACAGCTATTCAATTCTGTATGGCGAACGGGAGTCCTCCCGGAGAATTGGCAACTGTATCAGGTTATATTTATTGACAAACCAGGACGAGAGAAGGTGCGACCTATTTCATTGTCATCTTGTGTAGGCAAACTGATGGAGAGACTCATTAATGAACGACTAATGTGGTGGGCGGAGAACGAGGATAAATTTAGCAAATCACAGAACGGATTTAGACGGGGTAAATCTTGTGCCGATAACCTTGCACGCATTACGGCGGATATACGTGCCTCTATTTGTTCTAACGAATATGCCCTGGCAGCCTTTTTGGATGTATCTGCGGCGTATAACTGTGTGAATTACTGGATCATGATGGACAAGCATGATGGTGGCGCTTCAATGTCCTGTAAACATTGCTAGATTCATCAGTAAATGGCTATACTGTAGAAGGGTGAGATTTACTATAAATTCTCAAGAATACGTGGATCGCCTTGTTTACGGAGGGCTCCCGCAGGGCGCGGTTCTTAGCCCTATCATGTATTCTCTATTCACGCAGGGTTTGTGCGCGGAGTTGCCGGAGGGAGTGGAGGCAGTAGAGTTTGCCGATGATATTGGTCTGTATGTATCTGGGATTAGTAGAAGAAGGAATCGTGAACTATTGGAGCGTGCCGTTAACGTAATCGCTGAAAGACTTATGTTGATTGGTTTGGCACTCGAACCGAAGAAGACGGTACTGGTGGAATTTTCCAGGAGCGGTTACGTGGATAAGAACCTGTTTATCAATATACAGGGAACCAAGGTGTATAATAGTGGTGAGGCTAAATTCCTAGGAATCTGGCTGGATAGTGGTTTGACTTTCCATCGGCAAACACAGGAGATAAGAGGAAAAGTAAATAGAGCCAATTCCATTATGAGATATCTTTGCCATGTTTCTACTGGTATGGAGACTAACAC